CCCAAGGACTGGTTTTTGGGAAAATAGATTGTTAGATCTGATGTGCCTTTAGGTGGACCTGGTCAGTAGATTAGAGTTTGCACCACCCATGGACTTCAAATAGATTTTAAATCTCCTCTGTCAGAGAAAACGAGGACGACCCCCAGTGAGATCGATTGGCCAAGTGGCATCATCAATTGACTCAAACGTGGCACAATTGTGAAGTTGGCCCAGGATCGAGCAGTGTTTCATTCTGTTGTGCAAAGGGTCACTATGAGTTGGAACCGACTCAATGGCACTTAACAACAACAACTCTCACTGATGCCTGTATTCCTCAGTGAGTTTGGGGGTGGAGTGGAGGGCTCTCATTCCACAGATGAAGCACTGCAAATGTAAATACTCACATTCAAAGGCATTCCAGCTAACATGTGATAATCAGCAATTGTGGTAATCAGACTCATCTTTAATCCTTACCTGCTTTATTAGGAGAGTGAAGAGCATAGAAGTGCATTATGTAAAGTGCATTCTGTAAAGTGCAGGAAGAGAGGTCGTGTTATAATTTCACCACACCAGCTTGGTGGTGGTTATGTGCCACTGAGTTGCCTCTGATTCATAGCAACACTGTATAAGGTTTCATGAGAGCAGAAAGCCTCATCTTTCTCTCATGGAGCAGTTGGTAGATTCAAACAGCTGACTTGGTGCTTAGAACCCCAGCACATACATAACCCACTATACCTCCAAGGCTCCTTCCACACTAGCTTAGGGTCAGCCTTTTTTAACATCAACATTTTTGTCATTCTAAGGCTTTCAAGTGGCTCAGTTTTGTTTTTTTTTAATGTTTATTATGGTTCACGAAATACATATAACAAAACATTTGCCATACCATTTTTACAAATGATTTTGCTGGCATTAATATATTCACCTTGTTATATAATCATCACTATGTTTTCATTTTCAGATTTTTACATCACCCTAACAGGAGTCCTGGTGTGGCGCTGTAGGCTATGCGCCAGACTGCAAAGCCGTTTGAACTACAAGGTCGGTGGTTCTAGCTCACCAGCTGCTCCTCGGAAACCCTATACAGGGTTGCTATGAGTCGAAACAGACTCAATGGCACTTAACAACAACAAAAACAGAAACTTAGCATAAACCGCTCAGTTTTGAAAGATTTATTTTTAAATGGTTTGATTTTGAAAGGGTGGCATGTTTCTTGTGAAAGCCCTTTGTTCCCGGAGCTGCTGAAGAGACTGACTGAGAAGCTCTAGAAACGTAAAGCAAGTTCTAGACCACGGGTGGGAATTTTATTCTGCCACAATTTATAACATTATTTGCGGGCCATACAAAATTATCAACTTAAAAGTTAGCCTGCTAGACCGTGCAGACCCGGTCAGGAGTTCATGTCCCTGTGGGCCCAAGCGTTGCAGACCGTCCAAACCATAGGCTCTGAGGATCAGACTTTAGCCACCTAGCAGACATAGCAAACTGTCCCTCATCTGATTATTCAGTTATGCTTGTTAGTAATCGCATACATGAGCCCTGGATATCCACAGATAAATGTAAAAACCTTCCCTAAAAGCCGAGACTGTAAATTCCAAAAAGGCAAAGTTCCCCCCCGCCAAAAAAAAAAGCTAAAGAGGATAGAGAGAAACACTGTTAACTGATGATGTGTGGAGGGGATTATAATCAATGTAATGAAACAAGTCATATGAATGGTTGAATGTGAAACTGGTGGTGTGCCCTGTAAACTTTCACTCAATCCACAATAAAAACCTTAAAAAAAAAAAAAAAATTAGCCTGCTATATTTGGTCAAACAAAAAAAACCCACCAGCTTCTCCTCAGAAACCCTATACAGGGTTGCTATGAGTCAGAACTGATTCGATGGCACTTAACAACAACAAAACATGATGGCTGTAACTGTTGTTTCCTTGGTAGGGCCAGACCAAATAATTTTGCAGGCGTTATATGGCCCACGGGCCCTACATTCCCCACTCCTGTTCTAGAACCTTGTGATCTCCTCTGGTGCAGAACATCTTGCCTTCTTCAGAGCCCATGGTGTATCTTCAGACTGCTCTTCAGAGTGATCTGATTTCTCATCCCACATTGGGTCAAATCCCCATCAGAAAGGAATGAAAGCAACGACACCTGGAGACTGTTAACCAAGGGGCTTGAAAAAAATAATTATGATGTAATGACTAATGGTTTCAATGATTATCTAGAATCATTAAAAAATGCAATTGTATACAGTATAGTGCTTTTAGGAAACCAAAAGAATGCAACTTTTTAGGGACAGATCTCACCAACCGTGGCTGTATTTTAAAGAAAAATCTGGGGCATTTGTTGTTGTTAAGTGCCATTGAGTCAATTCCGACTCATATGACCTTATGGGTAGGGTTTCCAAGGACCGACTGATGAGTGTGAACCACTGACCTTGTGGTTGAAACCACAGACCTTGTAGTTCAAATCGACCTTGCTTTGGGGTCCAGTGCTTTATCCCACAGCACCACACCAGGACTCCTTTAATCAGCTACCCCTCATAAGCTACTTAGGTGTGGAATATGACATTTCCCAGCCATGCTTCAGGAATGAAGTGTTACTCGTAGCCCATGACAAGCCTGCGTGAGCTGAAATTTGTTTGATTACATATTGACTGAATTCCTCACGACCTCTCTGAACTGTTGCTGGGTAGTCTCTAGGGTGTCATTTCTTCAGAGGAAGAAGATCCTGTTTATGAAAGTCTGCTGCATACTAATTTATTTCAGTTTCGAGGAAAATTGCATTGTCGAGTTAGTGTCATTATTTTTTTGTACAGGGTTATGAGGAAGTACGACAAAAGTGGCAGGCTCATCTGTAATGACGTGGATCTGTGTGACTGCCTGGAGAAGAACTGCCTGGGCTGCTTCTACCCTTGCCCCAAGTGTAACTCCAACAAGTGTGGGCCCGAGTGCCGCTGCAACCGCCGGTGGGTCTACGATGCCATTGTCACCGAATCAGGGGAGGTTATCACCACACTACCTTTTGAGGTTCCTGACTAGATGCTGTTGTGTATGGGCTGATTTTCTGCTTCTTTTTGTATGTATAAGTTGACCTCTTTCTCTTGAGTGAATTTTAGACTTTGGCGAAAATGGGAAAACCAATTCAAGACTCCTGTTTTCTCAAGTAGAATGATTTAGAACTACAATAATTCTCTTTTCTGACTGTATCTTCTCTAAGTCCTTAACCTGTAACCAAAGAATGTGACAGTACATGAATCTCAGAATCTCTCATCAACTCCCCAAGACCTTCTCCATCCTCAAATTTTAAAAATCTCTTCTCTCTTTTCTGATACCTGAGAAAATATAGTTTTAAGATTTTCAGACTTTTGTAATAGAGTTTCTTCAGGGCTTCCAATGGGTTCATTCCAGTTTGACTGTCTGCTAATAATGTGCATTTCCACCACAGGTATACTGAATCAGAACTACATTTTAATAAGATCGCTAGGGAATCTACAAGAATCATCTGGAGATCTGGCTAAACTATAGATTCTAATTCAGGTGGCCAAGTGCTTAAGTGGTTGACTTCTAATGGAAAGGTTGACGGTTCAAGCCGCCAAGCCTCGTCGAGGGAGAACACTATGGCAGTCAGCTTTGGAAACCCTATGGAACAGTTCTGCTGTGTCGTGTGTGTGTGTGTGTGCGTGCATGTGTGTGTTACGTGTCATCGAGTCAGTTCCAACTCTTTTAGCAACCCTGTATAGAGTTTCCAAGAAGCAGCTGGTGGGCTTGAACAAATGACCTTGTGGTCAAAACCAACCTTTCGGTCTAGTACTTCTCCTCCAGAGCCACACCAACACTCCCCTCTGTTCTGTAGGGTCATTATAAATTGATATGGACTTGATAGCAACAGGTTTGGTTGTTGGTTTTGATTCCATGTATCTGGGGTGGAAATGCAAATTCTCAGCAGGGATTGAACTGGAATGAATTTGTTTGAAGTTCTGATTTTCTTACATAGAATATAAATCAGCATTTATAATATTCAGTAACTCTTACTCAGTATCTTACACATCCTGTTCTAAATCAGAATTATTTGGATTTAAAAATAAATCCTTATGACTGCACTGTATATTCATGGTCTCATTTTTTGTTAATGTCTTAATAACACTAAAATTAGCTTTGGTAATATTTGGTAACATTTTTATTATTTGAAATTTCTATTTTACTTATGATATTGAGAAATTAAGACTTGAATGTTCTAAAAGCCAGTGACTTGCCTTTTTAAATTTCAGGATCAGTATTTCAGAATTTTTTTAAAAGGGATGAAACTTAAGTTGTTATACAAAAGTGTTTTTTGTATGTTTCTTTGAGAACAATATGAAGTTCACTACATAAATGATGTATATTTTCAATTCTGACACATTGTAGGAGGTTTTATAAAATGTTGAACTTGGCTTGTGAATTTGTTTTTATGACAGAATCCTTTTTGTTTTAAGTCAAGAGTTCTCAGACTGTAGTGTACAGAAGAATCACCTGGCAGATTCGTTAAGACATAGATTTGGGGACCACCCATAGAGTTTGATTTATTTGCATTTATAACAAGTTTCCAGGTGATATTGATGATGCTGGTCCCTCAGCCACATTCTGAGAACCACTTGTACTCGTAGAAGTTATATTAGATATGCAATATATGGAAATCTTTTAATGGAATAGTTTGATTATTATTTTTAAAAAAATAGTAATAGCTTTTGGTTTTAAATAAACTTGAACTATTATAGTTTCCAGCGTTTACTTCTCTTCTATAATCAAATTTAAAGCACTGATTTTTTTGCAATCTACTTGTCAGGGCAAATTCCTGACAATTCTGAACTTGGTTACTTGGCAGTATGTTTTAGGACTAATGTATCAAAAGTTCTGAAAGTAATGCTATTCCTATAGTATTCCTGTAGGTGCAGCAGGAGAACTGATGTTCTTCTGCATCCTTATCCACAGAACTGGGGTTTCCAGCTTCACCTCACTTTTACTGAGCCTCTGTTGTTAGCCATATACTATATATGCTAAGTGCTTCTAATTCATTACCTTTAATGATCACAACCCTGAAAGGAAGGTGTCGAGTTCAATTCCTGAAGCCATAACGTTTGAATTGTTGCCAGGAACTGACAGTACTGAAATAAGTAGAAAGGATCAGATCCATGGTGGTTTGTATTTTGTTTTGTTTTTAGAATAACAATCATTTTATAAATGAATTACTTGATTATTTATGTTTATTTTACAGTCATATAATTTTTTAGCTAGAAGAAACTTGATTCTGTCCTGCATTTCCCCCCTTTTGTTCAGGATGTTCCTATAGTCTTTGATAAAAATACTCAGTAATGGAAGCCTAGGCTTCACCATCCAATTCTTCTGGCTTCACGGCTGAGGAGGCAGTTGTTCATGTAGACAATTAGCCATAGATTCCATTTCCTCATCTAAATAGTAAGTCAGTCAGAAAATATTAATGAGCGGCACACCAAGCTAGCTGTGTTGTTGTTGTTGTTAAGTGCCATCGAGTTGGTTCTGATTCGTAGCGACCCTGTATAGGATTACCAAGAAGTAATTGGTGAGTTTAAACCACTGAGCTTGCGGTCCAGTGCTTATCTTACAGCACCAAGGAGGGGGAGTGTACAGTTGCTAGATGCCAGGGCAACTGCTACAACTAAGGAAGACTCCATATACAACAGAAGGCAACATTACCCTGTCCTGTACCATCTTCACAATTGTTGGTATGCCTGAGTCCATTGTGTGGCCACTGTGTATTTGAGTGCCTTCCAATCTATGTACCCTGTAGGACAACAGTCTCTTGTGATTCATAGGTTCATTGGCTAATTTTCAGAAGTAATTTTCCAGATCTTTCTTTCTAGTCTGTATTAGTCTGGAAGCTCCTCTGAAACCTGAGGTTACCCTGTGGTATTTGAAATGCCAGTGGCATAGCTTCTGAACTTATAGGAACATGTAGACCACCTAAGCATGACAAAGTGACAGAATGATACTGTTGCTAAGTGCCGTCAAGTCAGTTCCTGTCGAGGTCCTATGTCGGGGTCCAGCCTCGACATTGAAGTGTGAGTGTCACAAAGAAGGGAGATCTGGCGGCGAAAGGGATAGAGAAAGAGAGAGATGAAATATATACAAAAAAGACAGACATACAGATATGATGCAAGCTGGCAGGTAGGCAGATCTGCAAACATATTGCCTAGCATTGCATGCAGAACTCACTCTACCTCAGTCTTTTATTCTCTTTTTTTAGGGAGGGATTTGTTACAAAGGAAGGATGTAATTCACAAAGGGAGGATGTAATTCTTTAGATAAGACAGGATATGGAACTGAAATGTGATTAATCATTCAAAACAGGACATAATGATTCACAGGAACAACTTTTAAAATATTTTCATAGTTTTTCTTAACAATCTAACATTTTTATTTTTACAGAAAAAAGGTTCAATCAAGTTGTTATATATTAACTTTTAGGCTTAAATGATCTAGAGCAGTGACATGCGGTTTCTTAAGGATACTTAACATAAAGCAAGGTTCCTAAAAAGGAGCCAAGCTGTCTCTGTATACTTTGCAAACTTTTGTTTGTGAGCAAGATCTCAGGCACCAGGCTTCATTTATCTATATGCAAAATGCTACATTGTTCTTAATTATCACATTCCTATATACTTTCAGGAGGAAGGAGAGCATCTGGGTTAAACTGATTATATTCGGCGGTTTAATGGGGCTGCCACTATTGTCCTCTAATCCAACATTCCCAGAATTTACCATTCCACTTTATTTGCAAACCTTAGGTAGTTTTCCTCTAAAAACCTTTTCTTGTATTCCCAATATACCTGTTCCTGGCCTTTCTGAATTATCTGAGAAAACTTTTTATTGCCTTGGCTCTAAAAAGGGGTTTCAAACCCATTATTGTTAATGGATATCAAACATAACTGAATAATCAAATAAGGAGCAGTTCTGACATTCATCCCAGGTAGCTATCGATTTTTCCTCAGAAAGATTTGTTCCCAGGACCCCACGCACTGCCAACACAGTGGAGGCATTAAGAGAGGCATTGTAAAAGAAACCATTTTCTCAGAAGCTACAATTACTGGAGTTAGAAGCATAGAATGAACAATATTAGGACCAAAGAAAATTATACAGAGGTAACCAACCAGTGAGTTCGCAAAAACCAATGAACCCGGGACATCAGGAGGTCACTTCCTTGGTCCTCAAGGTCCATGGTTCGCAGTCCTGAGGAGGGCCATGGGGTTGGATTTTCGTCCATGTCACAGGGCCACTGATCAACCAGGGTCTGTGTATGCTGACACCAGCAAGTTCCTACTCATAGTGACTCTGTATAGGGTTTACAAGGAGTGGCTGGTGAGTTTGAACTGCCGACCTTGCAGTTCAAACTGAGTTTGCCATCTAGTGCCTATAGTAAATCTATCCAGTTCCTATCTTTATACAGATTATGAACTAAAACCTAAGGCTTTTAAAAAATTATTATTATTTATATTTTTGTTGTTGTTATTGAGGATATACACAGCAGAATATCCATTCAACAGTGACTGCATGTACATTTCAGTAACACATTGATCACATTCTTTTATTTATACAAACCATTCTCAATCCTTTTCTGAGGTGCTCCTCCTCCAGTAACATAAACTCACTGCCTCCTAAATTTTCTATGTAACCTTTAAGTTGCTGTTATCAATTTGATCCCATTATATAGATCCCATATGTTGTTTTCATTTTAATAATTTATTGTATTTTGTTATTGAATATACACAGCAAAGCATATACCAATTCCACCCAAACTTGCAGATAGTCTCGATGACTTGATAATCAGCACTCGACTAGAGGAAGACAAAAAGAAAACAGAGGGTAAATTAATACAGTTTGATGATCTTGACCTATATTCATGGAGGTAGTAGCTCAAAATACCAATGAGAGGGAAGGAGTCTTCACATCAAGTATCAATGCTATCTATCCCCTCTGTATATATGGTAGATAGGGTTGGGCAATTTAGATATTGGCTACCTAAAATGAGG